TACCTCACTAGCTTTCACCTTAGCCTGTGACTCTGAACTTTAACCTTCACCTTTGACTCTGAACTTTCACCTGGTTCTATGACCTTTAATTTGCATCTTGATCTGGGATTCTGAACTTCTCCCTTAACCTCTCACTTTGAACTGTCCCCTTAACCTCTAACTTTGAACTGTCCCCTTGACCTCTCACTTTGAACTGTCCCCTTAACCTCTAACTTTGAACTTTCCCCTTGACCTTTCAATCTGAACTACCATCCTCCCCTGTGACATTAAACTTTCACCTATGACCTTGAACTTTCCGCTTGGTCAAACTTTTTCTACGGAATTACATCAACTCAACCCAGAGAGAGAGAGAGAGAGAGACTGAAAAAACAATACCCCCAGGTGGTCGCCCGCCATGTTCATTAACACCTACCTACCTACCTACCTACCTACCCACTCCTGCACCACTGAACTATGACCCGGACACATCACCTCCGCCAGCCAGCGTCTACTCCTCTTCCTTGGACTACAACAAACACGTCATTAAGATCATCCACCACGTCACTTGGAAAGGAGTTTATATGACATACAGGTGAAGACTACCATTAATTAACAACAGGTGAGAGAGAAGGTGTGATAACCGAGTGTAAACAAGGGGATTAAGTCTCTACTGAGTAACAAACACAAACAAACAAGTACACGACAAAGAAAAGCTCAATCCCCCTGCTGATTGGCTAGCAGCTATCCTTATTTTTTGTGGGGATACAGTGATAGTTAGTGGAGGATAACACAACTGATAATATTGTTGTAGTGCGGATAGCGTCGAAGGCGGATACTGAGGGGCCTGTAGATCCACACACACACACACTAAGTTTGGGTTAAATCAATAATTATTTGTTGGTTATCGTGTTTACAAACCACGGACGGATACACGGACGGGATGGAAAGCCGACATTACTCTGCCCCTCTCTGGACGGTGGGGACAGTAAGAGGGACGTAAATTAGGAATATATTCACAATCGTTGAAGAAATACAATAGAAATAACAAAATAAACATCAAATCTACTCGGCAGTAAAGAAGAATCAGCTCTACGATTTCCTGAACGAGTTGATAGTTTCATTAATATCTACAAAGGTAAAACAAGTTGATTACCCCAACTATTAACCTTACTGCACTGGATAAAAGCATCGTGAACATGACTAAGTTGTGAGCGAGGTATTTCGGGTAACATGTGACATATTATTGAAATGGTAATGCAACATGGACACTTATAGTACATGTGTATTAACAATGGGAAAACTTCAATACCGATACTGAGAAAATTGTCCGAGTTGGATTACACACACGGTGAACCCCACTGAGTTAATGCATATGAAAAATACTTGTTAAACCGAGGTGCTTTCAGTACAATTAGCCTAATCAATATCGTAACTCCACCTACATATCTAAACTTACACACACAACAACCGGTTAATGTTGCAACTCTTACAACTTTAAGTCCAGTAGTTGATTACACACACGATTAACCTCATCAGGTAAATGGTGTTGAAAGTAGCGACGCTTAAAACGAGGTGTTTCATACATTTATTCAACAACATTATAAACCCCACACGCCACGGGGTAACGAGGTACAGTAGCAGCTGGGGTAGTGGCACAGACAAAAAAAGTGGGGGGAGGACAATTTACTCTGAGACTCATCACTAGTTAACACAGAGACGAGAGTTCGACTGTGCAAACCTGACATAAGGGCACAAAACACTACACCCCTAACGACCTTCTCTAGTTCACAGAATGCCAGATATAGAGTAAGACTCAGATATTAATAGAATGGCAAATAAACAGTTCTAGGAAATTGGCGAAGACAAATATAAATAACAGCCAGTGAAATGTTCTATAAACAAGCCGTTGTATATGTAGTGGTTAAGACTGGAAAAATAAGACCAAAATAAAACAAAACCAACCACGTGACATGTTTCTCCACGACCTTTAACTCTGACAACCAATTAAAAAAAAAAACAGTAAAATTAAACTCAAGACGAAAAACAAAGAAAACATCAACAAAAACAGTTACAACATGAACAGGTGGAATATAAGAAATATCCGTAACAACAAGAACACACTCAAGCCAAACTTTAATACAGTTGGGAAGAACATCGACAAAAAAGGGAGGAACTATATAACCCAGCCTGAGAAAGGGCTTAAAAAACGTAGGCAGTGAGCGAGTATTGTGGGTCAGTGTGTTTGATGACGTCCAGGACTTGCCTATAAAAACTGAGGTGCGCATCACGACAAGTGGAGGAACACGTCGATAGTTCACTGTTCGTCTGGGAGTGGGACCTGGCTTACTGGACCTGTTCACTGTTAGTAATGGAGGGGGACCTGGCTTACTGGACCTGTTCACTGTTAGTCATGGAGGGGGACCTGGCTTACTGGACCTGTTCACTGTTCGTCTGGAGAGGGACCTGGCTTACTGGACCTGTTCACTGTTAGTAATGGAGGGGGACCTGGCTTACTGGACCTATTCACTGTTCGTCAGGGAGAGGGACCTGGCTCACTGGACCTGTTCACTGTTCGTCTGGAGAGGGACCTGGCTTACTGGACCTGTTCACTGTTAGTAATGGAGGGGGACCTGGCTTACTGGACCTGTTCACTGTTAGTAATGGAGGGGGACCTGGCTTACTGGATCTGTTCACTGTTAGTAATGGAGGGGGACCTGGCTTACTGGACCTGTTCACTGTTCGTTTGGAGGGGAACCTGGCTTACTGGACCTGTTCACTGTTCGTCATGGAGGGGGACCTGGCTTAATGGACCTGTTCACTGTTCGTCAGGGAGGGGGACCTGACTTAGTGGACCTGTTCACTGTGTACACGAGTAAGGTTCACTGTCGTCAGGGAAGAGGAGAACTTGACGGGATCTGTTTACTTGACTGTTCACTATGTTTTCGAGTTAAAACTCAATAGTTAATGTACGAGGAACTCAAGGAGGAGAAGGGAGGAGGAGGGGATTGGCCCTGGAGAACTATTCCTTGTAGTCATGTACTGGAGCAATAACTCACCAGTTCAATGTTTATACCAATGTGAACAAGAGAGAACAGACCCACTAGAAGTGTTCAATGTGTTCACGATTTACAGTTCGCAGGGAGAGTAAATAACTTACATATACAAAGACCGAGAGTGAACAATGGTGAACTATGACATACAAAACAAAAGACTATGGGAGGAGGCCTGATAGCAGCACACGTGAGGCGCAGGGCAGGAAGGGTTGAAATAAATTTTAGTGGAAGAATGAAAAGGGGAAACCATCACGAGTGTGGAAATCGAGGTTGGGAATGACATGCGAGGGACTGTACATGATATGACTGAAAGGGGAAGCTTAAAAAAAATAAAAAAATAAATCACGAAAAGAATATTATACCACGCTGATCCTCGTGGACATTATGAGACATGAGAATTATGAAGCAGCGAACCGAGAATGAGGGAGCGGAAGGTGAAAATGCATACCAAGTGAAGGATAAGTGTGGAGGTCAAACCAATTCATACATATATCAAAAGCCAATAACAGAATCCACTCAAGACTAAGTGCATATAAGGAGATAAGGTCATTAAGCATTGAATAGAGATTGTTAAAAAGGGTTAAGGATAAGAGAAGGGGGAGGGGGGTAAGATTAAGATATATATTATAAAAACCACAACGAAGTATAGTGCCATTAGCGGGTTATGTGTGGGATCCTGTCTTAACTAGGGGCCACCGAGATGACATGACATGGTGTTATAATATCACCTTTAGTTATGTACCGTGATGGATAATGAAGGTGATCTATTAACAAGGGACGAACACACACACACACACACACACACACACACTAAGCTTTTACACATTAACTATGCCGTTTTACCTCCTTCGTTAGTACGTGTGCGTGTGTGTGTGTGTGTGTGTGTGTGTGTGTGTGTGTGTGTGTGTGTGTGTTCATTACGTCCGTTCGTGTTCTTCATGAGAAATAATCACGTTCTTAAGGAGAAGACAGGTGGAAAGTACTGAGAATATATATGAGAGAGAGAGAGAGAGAGAGAGAGAGAGAGAGAGAGAGAGAGAGAGAGAGAGAGAGAGAGAGAGAGAGAGAGAGAGAGAGAGAGAGAGAGAGAGAGAGAGAGAGAGAGAGGATGAAAAGGGCATAACAGAGACATGAAAGTTATTGAAATATGCAGCCCCGGGAGGTGGCCACACGACCATGACATTAATCTTTACTCCAGAGAGGCGGACGAAGGGAGACCAGGGAGAGAGAGAGAGAAAATGATAGAGGGACACACACAAACACACACATATATATTAATGTACGTAACAGGTTAACGGGCAATAAAATCTTACTTATGAAATGTACCAAATGTTTGTCTCTCTCTTTGTCTCTCTCTCTCTCTCACGGAGCACAATAACATAAACCGGTAATAAACAGAGGAACACCGATGACTCTCTTACGTGTCGTTCTCCAGTGGCACATAAGACAATACTGGAGGAACAACTTCTGAATAATACGGGAAAAGTTTTACATTTCCTTTTGTCGGACCAAACTGTCTACCTGTTTCATTTACATGGCTCGATTTTTTTTTTTTTACATTATAAAGGTATTGTGATATCGGGGACAAGCAGTGGCAGTGTAGCTCGCTTGCAGGGGGCATTTAGGCAATTAGTTGACCTCTGTAAACTTTCCTTTAGGACGACGATGATGAAAAAGTCACCAACGACTACTAGTACAACGACAACCACGGGTATATCACCGTGGAGATGACAACAGCTATAAGAGTGGCAATGATCTCACTCTACCACCTTCATTTCCCCAACTAATGTCAGATACTCAGATGGGCAAACGGGGGGGGTGGCTGTGGGCATTAACCAGGGACCCCAAGGACAGGAGCTGAGTGTTGTATCCACTCTGCCACCGCACCCCGTATGGTAATAACTATTGATGTAAAAACTAAGAAAATGTTTTTTTTTCGTTACGTTAGTCAGCTCTATGAATACCAAACTAAAGCAGCACGGAGCAGTTGGCAGCCTGAGTAAAGAGCCACATTATGGTAAACAAACCCTCAGTTACCAACACCTCTACCCTTTCCTCTCCTCCTTTTGCCGATGATATGCCTCTTCTCCCTCCTTCTTCCTAGTTCCTCCTCCCCATAGTGAGAGAGGTAAAGGGATAAGGTTAGTCTTTCTCCCGGCGGTAAAGTGAGCCCCCCCCCCAACATCCATTCCCTTCCCTCTATCTCTGATGATACACCCCTCCACCCCCCCGACCCCCCCACCCCCTCCTGGTGAGTGAGGTAGCGGGAGGAGGGCGCCACATAAATGCCAGGACGCCGGTATTTACGGCCACTCACTACTGCGACCCACCGCCTGGAAAACTCCTTCAGGAGGTTCCCCTCTCCCATACGACTCTTATTGAGGGTGGTCGTCTTTCTACGTGTGGTCGTACAGGTGCTTCTCTACTTGTTCTTCGAGAGATGATCAAGACTGTACACAAACTTTAACACACACTTAAACGGGGTGACCACGACGAACCCCTTACAAACTTTCTTAATTTTTCCACAAATATATAAAAACAAAAATATGGTAAACACACACACACACACACACACACACACACACACACACACACACTGTTTTTGATCGAGCGCAAGACTCAAGAACCCCACTCTGTACTTTGGGCTACATATACCCAAAAAGGAACATGTGAGTGAGTGAGTGAGTGAGTGAGTGAGTGAGTGAGTGAGTGAGTGAGGCTTCCTGGGGTGGATGAAGGTAAAACTCATAGAGGGGAGACTTAATATGTTCGTCCAGTCGGAATTTACCCTTGAGGGTGGTAGTGTAGGGGCGAGGGAAACAGATGGGGAGGGTAGGGGGTGAGGGTGGGGAGGGAGGGAAGGGGGGAAAAGGGGAAAACTAGGGGTAACGAAAGGAGATGTGCTATGATAGGGAAAGCAGGGAGGGAGGGAGGAGTGAGTGACATCGTACTAAACATAGGAACCAAAATCTTCACAGAACTGCCCAACAATTAACCACATTATTTCCAGTGAGAGATATTTTTTTTTAGCGTCAATTGGCGTGAATCTCGTGTTATTACCGTACACATGACTGTAAAGAACTCAACTACCAAACATGCAGAACCCCCTTCCTAAAAAAATAAAAATAAAATAAAAATAAATAAAATAAAAATGAATGCTTTGACGTCCGCCTATTCTCCCATACAAAAACAAAGCCTTTTTATACGACCTTTTTTTATTTTATTTATTATTATTATTGTTATTATTATTATTTTTTGGGGGGTCCGGAGTTTTATATAAGATCACTAGTACTTATGTTAAAATCTAAAATATACATCAGTTTTCATCTATGGGGTCGCTTTGGTAACTCTACTTTCAATCATTTTCAAGTCATATTCATAAGTAGGAATTGAAAATAACCAATGTAAATGTGTAAAAACAATTATGTAAACAATGTAAAAAAATACATATGGCAAAACATAATTATCGTAACAATAATAAATAACACAAAATAGAGATAAACAAATAATTAAAAAACAAAAATTTTTAAATATATGTAAACATTTTAAAATATATCAATTTCATTATTTATAAAACAAAAAATAAAACAAAACCAAAGTATCCAGACGGTGTTTTATCCCATCCACTTCAGTGACAGCAATAGACTCTTAATTAGCTGAACTTTATAATAAAAAATAATAATAATAAATACGAGAATAAATATTATAAATAAAATAAAAAATCATCTCGGTATTGTTTGGGTCAGGTGTGTCGCCTCTCTTACCTGCTAATGATTATTTTTTCCCCTCTGATAATGAGTTTGTATTAAAGGTCTTGAAAAACGTATCTATAACTACCAGCAATATAATGCAAACACTCATAGATGTAGTTAGTAGTCATCTTCATCATCATCTCTATGCTCTTCCCTTGTTTATCACTCATTATTTCCTCACACTGCCTAGTTTCCACAGATATTTATTCTAGTGTAAAAAATAAATAAAAAAATGCGTTGGCCAGCATAGAGGCGTCAGGTCACAGTGCCTCGCCTTCAAACACCGCCTCCCTAAACCTGAACCATCTGTGGAGAGGAGGTGGGGGTGGGGGTGTAGGAGATGGTGGAGAAGGAGATGGTGGAGGAGGAAGAGATGTAGGAGATGATGGTGGAGGAGGGAGAGATAGTGGTGGTGGTGGTGGTGAAGGCAAAGAAAGAGCAAAGGTTATTAGTGAAGGAAAAGGAGGAAGGAAAGGAGTTAAAAAGAAAAGGCATAAAAGAAAGGGCTAGAGAAAGAGAAGGAAATGAAAGCTATTGGAAGGACGAAGAAGATAGTATACAAGGAGGACGATTGATAAGTGGACTGAAAGAAGAGAGGAGAGGCAAAAAAAAAAGAGGAAGGAGGGAGAGAGAGGAGGAAGACAGCAATAAGCTACACCTCCTAAGACAACAGCTCTCACCACCACCACTACCACCATCATCATCATCATCACCATCACCACCACCAACACCACCACCAACACCGTCATTTCTTCTTGCGTGGGTTCGTTTCAGGTACTACATTGCCTTATACTCAATACAACACAAATCCGACTCTCATTTTAATCCAGGTAGAAAGCCGGGTCTACCACAGCCTATACAAGCAAATAACCGGCTTTAATACGCACGAGTGGGTTGCATTGTACGACATTGTATACCAACCAAACCTAACATAGCGAAATTTCTAAATAAGTATTAAAACCCAAATTTCCATTTTATCTACTCTGACCCGATAAATAAATGATGGAATTACGACCACACCGATTGTACCATTAAATACAGTATTATATAAGAACTCCTGCATACGAACAAGAATTAACCCCCGGTGATAGTGAAGATAATTATCGCCTCCAACAGGTAAATTTGGACTCTGAAATCCGTGACGCAAACAAACGACTAATATTATTTCATTCACTCAATAATGAACTGCAATTAACGTGACCACAACCATTACTACTTTTATCGAAGGTAATAACAATAGTTGCTTAGCCTTTTTAGTAGGTAGTTGTAGTCGTGCCACTTAAGGGGTGGTACTCATGTCGACAAGTGGCTATCGATATAATGGGGGGCTGTCAGTCAGGTGTGACGGTTGCATATTGGGATCGTGGTGTGTCTGTCAATCATCCGTGCCCCTCAATATAACACACACACACACACACACACACACACACACACACACACACACACACACACACTCTCTCTCTCTCTCTCTCTCTCTCTCTCTCTCTCTCTCTCCCTCCCTCTTCCTCTTCTAGTTCGTCTATTGCGTTATTCTTCTATTTATTACCTTCTATCTCCTGAACTTGCTACGTATCACTAATTCTCTTCTCCCTTCTTGTGGTCATTTTTAATCATCATCTCTTCCTCTTCCTCGTTACCACAAATTATCTCCTATTATCAGCCCCTATCACTAATTCCCTTCTTTATTATCCACTTCCTCCTCTTCTTCTTCCCACTTTTTCACCAGCTTCACTAGATAGGGGTGCTATATTATTGCTATGTTACTTATTCTTTTCATTTATCCTCCTCCCCTTATTCTCTTACGCAACTAATATGTTATTTCCCTATTCTTATCTTCCTTCTTATCCTCTTCCTCCTCCTATGCACCTAATATATCCTCTCCCTATTCCTATCTTCATCCTCCCCCTTCTCCTCCTACACACCTATTTAACCCTCTCCCCTTTCCTATCTTCCTCATCCTCCTCTTTATTCCTCTCCTCGTCACTCCACCTCATTTTTCTCTTATTCTCCTTCTTAATTATTCTTCCTTCCTCCTTCATCATCTTCTCAGGTGCATAGCGAGAGTAAGGGTGTCGGATTAACCTGGGGAAGTGAGGGAGGAAACAGGAGGTAGGTAAAGGTAGGTAAGGTAGGTAAGGTAGGTAAAGGTAGGTAAGGTAGAGAATCATGTATTGTACCTGGGAATTAGTGGATTAATTCCGGTACTTGTTTGGGATTTTCGTTCAATAACATCTACTTCTATTTCTTCCACTTTAATCATTATTACAGTCTCTTTTCCCCCCTTCTTTATTAGATGTGTTGTTCTTCCCTCTTTATCGTTGAATCGTCCAAATATTTTACCTTTTTCTTCATCTTTTTCCCCTTTTTTGTAGTTTTAATCATTATTACTTTCGTCCCCTTCATTTCTTTCTTCTGTCTATTCTCTTCGTCTTCCCCTCTTCCCCCTTCCAACCACCAGTTTCTTTATTTTTCACCGTTTAACCTCTTTATTCCTTATTACTCTCCCCCTCTCCCCTCTTTTATTAGATTGTGTTGTTCTCCCCCCTCTTCATTTTCAATCACTGCTGTTCCTTCCTCTCTCTTTCCCTTCTCTCTCCTCGTCTATTAATCAGCTTTAATTTCTCTCTCTCTCTCTCTCTCTCTCTCTCTCTCTCCCAAGGTTAATTAATTACCTGCACGCTCTCCTTCCTCCTCTTTCACTGTAACCTATTTCCCTTACCACCGATTTTTTCTTAATTATCTCCAATTATTTCCTGTTCCTCCTCTTCTCTCTCTCTTCTCTCTACATCACGTACAGTAAAGAAAAAAAACTGTTGTCTTATCTAATTACGCTTTCCCTCAGTCCGCATCCAGCAATGAGAGAGTATTTTTATATCGCAGTTACAGTTTGGGAAGTGAAGGCGGTTGAGTGCAGTGTCGACCACCCTACCTCTTTGAACACCGGAAAAAAAAATGGTATCCATTTTCATTTATCATTCAAAAGCTGAGATCAAATTTTCTCTATCTTCCCTTTGGCTATTATCCCTCTTTCCTCTTTATCTGTTATTCTTCTTCCTAATCATCATCTTTTAACTCTCCCCTTACACTTTCATTTGGTAACCCTCCTATCTCGCCCCTTCTAAATATTTTGGCTTTTCTTCTATATTTGGTGGGACTTTTTTTCTTTTTCCTATCTGCATTTTTGTTATTACCTTCTCCTCCTCCTTCCCCTTTTTGCCTTCATTTACACACCCTCTTACCTAATACTCATTAATTATCCTTCGTCGCCTCTCACGCCTTTCTTCATACGATTTTCTCCACTGATTAGCTCCATCTCCTCCTGTTCCTGTTCTAAATTTAACTCCTATCCCTTTCCCTTCATTAAATTCTGTATCATTTGTACATCCTATCTCTTATTTGTTCTTTGTATTTTTCTGTTTTTCTTCCTATTAACTAATCTTTTTTTTATTACGTTCTCTTAATACCTTTCTCCTCTTTCCATGTCTTCTCCTCCTCCCCTCTCTAGTCTTCGTTAATTAACTTCCTTATTTCCTTTTCTTTAATTACTTCCCAATTTTATTCTTCATCTAATTTAATCAACGCCTATTTCTCTTATTCTCCCTAAAATTATCACCCCTATACACCTACCCTTCTTTCAAGGTACTTTCTCTCTCAGCTTCTCTCAGTGCCTCTCAGTACAAGGTGTTCCTAGTAATACCTGTACTATAGTGACTTGGCCCCATCCTAATTCGGCCTCATAGGGAACCGGGTCCAACATGTACAGGTATATCGGCCAGGTTCAGTTGGGGAGTATTGAATGGATATAGTACACTCGCTCCCGTACCCATGGTCGTTACACCATTAACAAGCACCACTATACTGATGCCCCCCAAATGATCGTAAACTGGCCATTAATCGACAGGAACCACGTTATCAGGGGGGGTTTACTAACAGTACCAATATAGTTATGACATTAGTGGTCGTATACTGCCCACTAGCCTTATGGGTGTACTCTTCATACACCCATCACACTTTATCGCAGGGTTATGAATGGGTGTTGTTGCCACTTACCATAATAGGTTATCTATGATCTGGTGGTCGTCTGCCTACTTACCTACAATCTCTTTATCATAAACAAATGGCTGGAACTTGTTTTACGTTTCTCTCTACAAAATTGTATTGTATCTGGTCTAAGAGAACCAGCCAAGTTTTATTAGTAATATCTCTGCCACACATGTCAAGTGCTTTACTCTCCCGCCATTACCTTCCACCCACCCACCCACCCCACCAACCCACACACAAAATACCTTTCCTAAACTTCCTCCCTCGATCCAGATCCTTCTCTTATCCGCCCATACATAAACCCTCAGGGCTCTGGGCACTCTTCCAGATAAATAAGCCCTGCCTCCTCCCCCTCCTACTACCCCTACTGCCTTGGCACTTATGGACGAAACTCAAGATGCACAACTGACGCTCTGACCTCAGTACATCTCCCTGCACCCTGCCCCTTCCTCTCCCCACGGCCCCATTCCCCCTCCTCTTTCCCTTCCCGACTCTACTGGCACTTGCAGCCATACCTAAAAATGTATGATGGAAGCTTTGGTCCGGGTACTCTTCCTTGTTTGATAACCCTGTCCCTTCCCCTTTCCTTTCCCCTTTACCCTCTCTCTTCCCTTCCCCCCTTTACTCTCACCCATGGACATACCTTAAGATGCATGGCGGGAGCTCTGGCCTGGGGGTCTCGTCTTGATGGTCCCAGCTTGTCCACCTCCAGCTCCACCAGGTCGATGTTGGACTCAGCATCGCTCATCCACGAGGCGAACTTGTCCAGGGCTTTGTCGAAGTTGTGGAGCGAGTTCATGGCTGAGTGAAGCTCCTTGCCCCGGGCGATGATGCTGTGGACCAAGGGAGATGAGAATACCACCATTCATCACTCAAACTTTACGTTAATAACAAGGCATAGAAAGACCCATTTCGGGGCCTAGGGGACGAAAATGTAGTACCTGTAGTAATAATAATAATAATAATAATAATAATAATAATAATAATAATAATAATAATAATAATAATAATAAAAAGGAGGAGGAGAAGAAGAAGAAAAACAACAACAATAATATTTGATAGTAAATAAAATTCCTAATAAAAAATACAAAATTTAAAATAAAATAATAAAATACCTACATTAATTCCAACAAGGAACATAAAATTACCTTACCTTCGGAATATACAGTTTACCAATACAACCAAATAAATCACAACACACACACGGACCTAGATCTCGTTGGGGGCCTTTCACTTATATTTATTAAAAAATGAAAAATATATATCCAGGAATAGTTTCTTGTGTTGCGTTTCCATGTCTCCACTCATCCAATGCAATATAGACAGATTAAGTTCATTCTCAGTGTTATTTGGCATCAGTATACACCTGCAGTATATAAGGACTATTAATTTTCGTCTTTACACATAAATACATGTTCTCGTGTTTCTACTCCCGTTTCTCGGTTTCTCTCCCCCTTCCTCTACTTCCCTATTTATCACATCATCATTTCCTGTCTAACTCAACCTATCTATCCATTAGTATAACTTTAAAGAGTATTATCATCTTGACTCGAGCGATTCAATTCAAGTCAATTTTTACATTCACCAAGTACTGAGTCAAGGCTCCCATACTACTACTATGACGAATGTCTATCATGGAAGCTGAATAATCTGTCTTGTTTAATATACGTTTGACTGATGAAAAGAAGCTGGCCTTACTCCTTTAGCCACACATGACAAAAACAAAACACACACACACACACACACACACACACACACACACACACACACACACACACACACACACACACACACACACACACACACACACACACACACACACACACACACACACACACACACACACACACACACACACACACACACACACACACACACACACACACACACACACACACACACACACACACACACACACACACACACACACACACACACACACACACACACACACTTGACGCCTCCGACCAATACACTCAATTAAATAAATGAAATAATAAAAAAAATCCACTTCATTTAACATCTATTATTTTTCCTGCTATACTGTTGTTGCTTTTATTAAATATGTAAATAATTACACATCCGAATGACCAACTGAGGCACCACGTTATCATATTCCTACCTTATAAATACTACTGCCCTTATAAATAATAGTTAACTAGCAGCATTAACCACCTATGTAAGGGCTCCTCTCTGTGCTGAATAAAATCAACTGGTATTAGCCAAACAAAATATAAAAAGTGACGCCCCCCTATAAAGAACCGGTTACTGTTGATATTGTGACCAAAACCCAATCTAGACTAGTCCTCTGGCCACAAGAGAGACAGAAAACGGACACCTTCCCTAGTATGAGAGAAAATGTAAGTCTCCGGACGGTGGCCTGGTGAACCATTACCTATCACAGCCCTAACGCACCTATGTTGATTTGTTGACCAGGTATAGTCCTAGAAAGTCTTTACAAACGTATTTCCATTGGTGTCCTACGCTGGGTTGGGAAACGAATGCAAAATAACCCATAAGAATATCCCCTTTTCTTATTAAATGCGACAATAACTGAATTTTTACTTCAGATTAATTGAAACTGGTGAATCATTTCTATTATAAAACATTTAAAGTTTACTATTACAAAATCATTCTCGTCTCCTGTTTTAGTTTAATGAGTTGTGTGTTTTAAGTTCAAATTGTCTGATACTGATATAGGATTTAATATAGTGTGGTAATTAGTACAACCATTAATAATTTTAAAAAGATGTATTTCCTTAGCCCCGTACACCAGCTACTGTACTGAAAAATTATATCCCCTGTTCCCGAGACCATTGTGCCCGACTTAGTTCCTTACAAGATGTCTTGGACACTAACCACTGACAATCTTCTAATATAAAACATCCTATACTGCTTCCACACGACCCGTCATTTGTGATGGTGTTTCCGGGGCCATAATACACCCAGACCAGACCAGACCAGACCAGACCAGGCCAGGCCAGACCAGACCAGACCAGACCAGACCAGACAGACCAGACCAGACCAGACCAGACCAGACCAGGCCAGGCCAGACCAGACCAAAGAACGACTCATTCACATGCGTTCATTTTCTTTACCACCAACAGTCAAAAAACCCTCACCCTATAACATGTTAAGATAAAGAAGAAAAATTCGTCTTAACTTACTTAAATTTCTCGTAAACTAAGGCAGCATAACTAACATAACGTGACTTATACCGACTCTCTTCATAACGTCAAAACATAATTGCCAACATAACACAAGCAAACTGATATATTTAATTTAATTGGATATGACTATATGCAAAGTAAACTGAATCTACTCATACTGCAATACACCAAAATGAACGAATTCGAACTAAACGAAACATAACATAACCTAAGCTAACCTATAATACAAAAAATATGTATCACATTCATAATACAAAATATTATGTATCACGGTTAGGTTAGGTCAGGTCAGGTCAGGTCAGGTCACAATCTTCCTCTACTTTAGCATCTGTAACTTGGATGTAATGTACCACTAGTCCCTACTTTAAAATACAGTTAAAAGATACATTCAAACATTATATAAAAAATACTAAATCCGGCGGTATCAGAAAATAGTGTCAACAACAAGACTGAGGGAGGACTGACCTAGAGTTGAGGCTGCTGTAACGTAGGTTGATCGACTCAGTGATTTTCTTGAGCCTGCGGGTGTCGTCGTGCTGGTAGATGGCTATCAGGCGCTGTGTCATTTGGTTAAACAGCTCCACTTGGTGCTTGTACTGGTGGATCTCAGCGTGGAATCCCTGGTGAGGAGATGAAGATGTACACAAGGAAGGAGAAAAACAAATAACAACGTCACTCTATCCGTTCCTGCTGTTTTTATATTGCCAAGTTGCCTCCAATTTTTTTTCGGTGATTACGGATTACCAAATATACTCGTACATTCATATTTATTATATTTTGTTCGTCAGTTAACTGATAAAAATATAATATTCAACATGTTATAAATTTTTTGGATAGGTTCACTCTTTCTTTAAAAAAATTTCTAACAGGGACATGGTGGCAACTCTCAGTACAGCAAAGTTTATCTTAGTCGTCATCCGGGAAACAATAATTTGTTCTCCCAGGACCTGACGGATAAAAATATTATAAGTGTAAATAGTGTAAATACTAATCATTTACTTCAGGAATTTATTTTGTCTATACTGCCAGGTATTCCATAAACCCTAATTACGTTACTTTTAATCTGTAACTTTTATAATTCAATGTTTCTTATTAAGTAGCAACCAGGAAGTAGCACCAAATACGACGAAAAATCAGTCACACTATCGTATCCGGTACTTAAAATAACCCTGACGGTGTGTGTGTGTGTGTGTGTGTGTGTGTGTGTGTGTGTGTGTGTGTGTGTGTGTGTGTGTGTGTGTTATGATGTCCACACAAAGGTTGAGACATACACAAAACACAAAGGCAGTGATGTTCAGGCAGTCTTCTTAATCACAAAATTAAAAAAAATATATAAATCCATTAAACATTTTCGCTAACACACACACACACACACACACACACAAACTGGCCTACCCTGATATATTGTGGTCTCACGGTAGAAGTATTTCAAATTAATAACAAAGGCATTCATTACAACAACTGGAAATAACAAGTTTACCTTCCACTGAACTCGACAATAAAAAAAATCCCACAAACTGAATATGACACAAAAATTTAATTACACTTATTCTATTCATCCCTTTTATAAATTGAAAATATATTCAAACAAAATTAATATGGAAATTCCAGATGACAGAGCCTTAATTTTGTCGTTTGTGAAAATAAAATATATTTTAATTTGATATTAATTATCAAATTTCAGCAACCTGACTATTATTAGACTTTAATGTTGGCCAGGGACCTGTGTTCTGTTTTATTTATTATGAAAAATATGATGGGGTGTGTGTGTGTGTGTGTGTGTGTGTGTGTGTGTGTGTGTGTGTGTGTGTGTGTGTGTGTGTGTGTGTGTTATTCAAGAAGTGTTCGTGGATGTTTTTACAGTAACCATACATCGTAATCTGTGTGTGTTTATTAAGGCAGTTTAAGCATTGTTCTTTGGCAACAGCATAAAATAATTTAACTTGGCGAAAACAAAAACAATATGTTTTTGCTACGTGAAATAAACATAAACACTAATTATGATACTCTATTATAATAAAAATTAACCAACAAATCAATGACGAAAATGAATGGGAGGTGACAACTATAAGTGAACAATGTAATAACTATCCCGTCATATTTGAAGATGAAGAACAATATAACATCAATACAACTATACTCATGATGTTACTGCAGTTGGAAAAATATGTGGCCCTTACTGAATTATAGAGAGTTAAATTTACCCAATCCAGGATAGTTTAGGAATCACCTTGTTAACGAAATAGAAGTGAAATGCATGAACGGGCGAACGGACAGACGCAAATCAATATACATCTATCGGTTGCTGGGAGTACGGTGCCTGCTGACTGTCTCCCCGACACGAGGGTAATCCGATCCGCGCTTCCACCTTGGGGTTTAATCGCCCGCGCCTTGCGAGAGGCGTGCCCTTAAAAACAAATCTATCACTAGCAAGTCTACGGACTTGGCGCACCCTCATTCAACTATCACATAGGGGAAGAGGAGGTGGTTATAAAAAACATATTTAATTTTCGTTACGTAAAGGAAAAAAACATAAAAATATAAATAAAGGAAACGGCCATCAGACCACTGTGGTCCATGTAATAAACAAATGTCTTACCTTTTGCTCGCGGATCTGCTGGTCGAGGACATCAGCTGTGCGGGCCACGGGGGCCATCCTTTCCAGCCTGGCCTCCATCCTGGCCAGCCACGACTCCAGCTCAGCCCGCTTGGCATCAAACTTGTGGGTGTCGGTGTACATGGCATCCAGCTGTGTCTTGCGGGCCAACACCACACTGTTGGTCTCATCCCAGTGTTCCCGAAGCTTGGACACTGTAACCAAGATAAAGGAAGATTATTAATGACCGTCCTGCAACAATAATGGAAGACGTGTTCTGGCGGGTCAAATGTTAACGGTAATGGCTTCAGTCTCTGTGTTGTATTCCATGAAATTAAAAACCATCATGATGAAATAATCCATATACGCTTCCCCTTGATTCCCGCGGACGGAAGTAAAATTACAGAGACCAAAACGAGGGTAAACTTACGAAAAGGTTCCGAATTTTCGATAAGCTGTAATTGCGGAAGAGCTTCGAGCGTAAATCACTTACGTACGCTTACAAACAAACCAATAAAGCCCCACCTAACTTAACCAAAAAATAATATACAACAGTTAAGTTACGTTTGATGGCAAAGTTGGTGTATATTGTTCCATTCATTAATAATCCGCAGTATAGTCTCAGTTAAGGGCATCAAAGGTTTATATTCTTTTGGTTATAATAAATTAAATTGTCCCTTATGGAAATCAATCTCAGGGTGAATGCAATTATTTTTTTTGTGGGGGGAGAGATCATTCTGTATTTTAGCTAATTCCCATGTTCACTAAACAAATGTCAAATTTCAACATCACTTCGGCAATAGAAGCATTTTAAGAGTCTCCTAATGCAACAGTTGGGAGAAACGTTGAAAATCATAGTCACTGTTCACACAATTCTGGGGCCGTTTTCTATCACTGGTTATGCTGGTTTTCTCTGAAGTGCATCACTGAATAAGATGGGGGACTCCTGTATCTCGTTTGACTCTTGTGTCAACCATTACCAAGAGGTATTTTGAGGGAGTTATCAGCTTCTATTTGCCGGAACTGATCATTAACAGAGTTTTTCACACGTAGATAGTGTTACCACTTCTCCTTGATACAACTTCAATAATATATTTTCCTCCTATACCAGAACGTCCTCACCTCCAACGACTTTTAATCTTACGAATAGAAAGTGACAAGGAAGAGTGGATCAGCAAGCTGTAGCCAGATGTATACATGCAATAACTGGCCTTTCACTGGATAATATACTGGACACATTAGGGCAGCGCTGGATTGAGAAGAAACCAAAAATATCGTGAAAAGTTATCTCCATCAATCACTCAGTCGAAGGTGGCATTCATAGAGCTTAATGACAACATGTGTATCAGCTGCACAAAACAACACAAAGACTCAATTCAGTATAGATCTTGACTGAAGCATAACAGATACACTGACGATGAAGGTCAAGCCACTTATGACATTAAATCTCATGAACACAGCTACTGAACACTTTATAATGAACACACTCAACACAGTTCAAAAGAACAAGCTCATATGCCTCTACCACTAACAAGTCTACGGACTTGGCACACCCACATTCAACCACTGCCCGAGTGTTTGTACCCGGGCCACATTAGATGAACATGGCCATAGTCACACTACAAGAATAAAATGATGTTAAAGGGCATTAGATACTTTAAAACTGTATATTTAGCGACGTTTCTTGGCGGACAAAATATATACCCAAGTAACGAGGAAAGTAAGAATACGAGCGTAAACAAACCGCCATTCACGTCAGCTTCACAACACAAAAGTAACAGCCAAAGAGTAACACACACGAGAGGCCATTACAGATTAGGTGCACCCAGAAAAACAAAATAAACATAAAACAATAAAACTAAGTACAATAACATCATTAGAGACAAAAAAGCCACAACACACAAGAGACAGCCACAGAGCAACACACAAGAGACAGCCACAGAGCAACACACAAGAGACAGCCACAGAGTAACACACAAGAGACAGCCACAGAGCAACACACAAGAGACAGCCACAGAGCAACACACAAGAGACAGCACACACACAAGAGACAGCCACAGAGTAACACACACAGAGACAACAGAGACACACAAGAGACAGCCATGAGTAACACACAAGAGACAGCCACAGAGTAACACACAGAGACAGCCACAGAGCAACACACAGAGACAGCCACAGGCAACACACAAGAGACAGCCACAGAGACAACACACAAGAGACAGCCACAGAGCAACACACACAAAGACAGCCACAGCAACACACAGAGCAACACACAAGAGACAGCCACAGAGTAACACACAAGAGACACACAGAGCAACACACAAGAGACAGCAACACAGAGCACACACACAGAGACAGCCACAGAGTAACACACAAGAGACAGCCACAGAGCAACACACAGACAGCCACAGAGCAACACACAAGAGACAGCCACAGAGAACACATAGAGACAGCCACAGAGCACACAGAGCAGAGACACAAGAGACAGCCAGAGCAACACACAAGAGACAGCCACAGAGCAACACACAAGAGACAGCCACAGAGCAACACAAAGAGACAGCCACAGCAACACACAAGAGACAGCCACAGAGCAACACACAAGAGACAGCCACAGAACACACAAGAGACAGCCACAGGTAACACACAAGAGACAGCCACAGAGTAACACACACAAGACAGCCACAGAGTAACACACAGAGACAGCCACAGAGTAACACACACAAGAGACAGCCACAGAGCAACACACACACAAGAGACAGCCACAGAGTAACACACAAGAGACAGCCACAGAGCAACACACAAGAGACAGCCACAGAGTAACACACAAGAGACAGCCACAGAGCAACACACAGTAACACACAAGAGACAGCCACAGAGCAACACACCAAACATATCCAGACGCACAATAGCAACAACAATGGGACGACCGCTCAACACTCTTACACAACACGAGACACAAAACATCTCTCAGCTCACAACACATTTGTCGAGTTCACACTAAACGTGAAAAAAAAATACGAAAGCATTAACAAACAAACGAAAAGAAATATCACAGCTGCTTTAAAGCACACTGGTGAAAACTTACATTTCACCTCAACACAGAACTAAGGAACAAGCTGAACACAATAGCAGCCAAGAACAACACTGTTAAATACAAAACAAATCTACAACGCTAATACCAAGTTCGACAGATGAGGAGGTCTCCCTACATCTGACTCATGGTACCCACCTGTAAGCGGGAAGACCCACTCCTCAAAAGACCTCAGGTAATAGTTTCAATATTTTTTTTTCTCGGACAAAAACGTAAACACCTTAATCTCTACCTATCGCATGGGCTAAAACACACATCACATAACCTGAACTAACGAGGGTCAGGTCGGGGATAATGGCATTAACTTAAATCAAAATAAGTTTCAATTAAGACAAAACTGAGCTACAAAAAGTTATAAATTTACAGCAGCTTTGACGTGTATAGTGAATAAAATGATTACCACGACCTTGTTCACAGTGAAGGGTAACACACCAAACGAGATGAGGAGGGGGACGAGCTAAGACCAGTGGAAGGAATAAGTTATGCAGGACGGTGCTTCATCCATCACTTGTCCTCTGGTCTGGGTGGGAGGAGGACTAACACCATGGTCACCACATCCAGGATTGGTGTCCAGCATAGTGATCAGGGATGAAGATAAGAGTGAGGGAACGGCTGGTGAGAGAGAGAGAGAGAGAGAGAGAGAGAGAGAGAGAGAGGCTGAAGGAGGTAAGAGATGGGGAATTAATATGGATGGAGAATATGATAGGACTGACGAACGAGGGAGCGCGCGCGCACGCACACACGCACACACACACACACATAAACGTAGGAGCAGACTGTTCACTTATTGTACCATGTTCACTCAAATTCACCAAGTTCACTATGTGTTCCTCAGTCCCCATTAAGAAGAGGAAGTGGAGGAGAAGGCGAGGGAGGTGTAAAGACAGGAATAGGAGGTGGTGGTGGTGGTGGTGGTGAGAGAAATGGAAATGCAGAGAGGAAGAGAAGAACGTGAAGAGGACAAGGATAATAAAAGTAGAACCAAAGAAAACCTATGTTGAGGGGAGGAGGACAGGAAGAGGAGGAGGAGATAAATTTTCCCCCAGGGTGAACAAGGCCACTCCAACAACACCCTGAAGACAGAACTACCACTGCCACAGACCTCTCACATAACCCCCGGGCGACTGAGAATTAAAATACCACCCACCACAAGGCATTAAATCCCATATCACTGGATAAGAACCGAAACACTATGGTCGAACGAGAAGTCTTTATGTCTAATCACCAATACAGCATCTCCGGTCAATGACTGTTATCTTTCTATAGTCAAACAGGAAATGAGACAGCTTCTGAAATACCAAGTTGTTTAAATTTTGAGGATGGTAATTCTATTTGGACACTTGACCTCGGTATTAGAGACATCATTCCTCCACAGGTGAGCAGGTAATAAGTGGTAAAATGACTCGAAATGTTTACCTTGACTTAGAAGATGTGACGCTGAACTCTCTCTCTCTCTCTCTCTCTCTCTCTCTCTTTTATTATCTAACTCTCTTTAATCATCACTTTCTGTTTCATTCTGTTCTCTCTCTCTTTCTTCCCTTATATGGATTTTATCTCTCTCCCTCTCTCTCTCTCTTTGTTCTCCTTCTCTTCCCTATCTCGCTCTTTTCTCAGTCTCATTATCTCTATCTCCGAATTTTGTTTTATTTTCTCTCTTCCCTGAATCTTTCTCTATACTCGTCCCCTCACAATCCGTCTATCTCTTTAAATTCTCCCTCCATCTCCTTCTCTTCTCTTCCCTCCTTTCACTCTTCTCACTCTCATCCCCCCCCCACCTCCTCTTCTTCTCTTTCCTTCCCTCTCACCTTCTTGTTTCCCTCACTCCATCTTCCCTTCATCCTCTCCGTCAGTTTACCCCCTCTTTCCTTCCTTCCTTCCTTCTTCTTTTTCCCTCCTTCACCCTCTTCTTATTTCTATCCATCCATCATCCATTCTTCCTTCAGTCCTCTCCTCCTCTTTCCTCCTTCATACTCTCCCTGCCTCCTTCACCCTCTCCCTTTCTCCCTCATCTTCTCACCTCCCTCCCTCACCTTCATCTAATCAGCCCTCCACCTGCACTACAAGAGGGCCCCGACTAATACCATCGAAGCAAAGAGACATTATGGCGCGTGATTAATTTTAGGGGAGTTGGACGCCTCCCTTAATGACATTGACGTCCTATAATGGTGTTCCTGACGTCACATCCTCTTAATGGCGCGTCCTTTGTAATGTTATTCTAATGGTGTCCTTAAATTCACGTTCTAGTAATGGCGTCCGTAGTAACTTTATTTTAATGGTGTCCTCGAAGTTAAATTCTATAATGGCGCGTCCTTCCCTCGACATCTTTCTTTAACTGTTTCCTGGTGTTTATAATGGCGCCTAATCAGTGACGTAATTTAATGGTAATGGTAATTTAAAAAGGCCAAGATTAAGTAATTTTAAGATCGATCGGTCGTAATTATCACGATGGGGGAGGGATAGTGTTTCCTTCAAGTTACAGTCAGATTAATGGGAAGTCAGATCGCCAGTCAGATAAGGTTTATAAACTCTTAAAATAAGTGAACACCCAAAAGTCAGCCATCACCTTTAAAAGAGACTGTCAGGTAACTTTAATGACTATGGCGTCCATTAACGAGAAGGTATAATCAGACCTTATCCTGTTAAGAGCCTGAGAGAGAGAAGGAGAGAGGAGGAAAGTTCTTCTCGCCCACAGCCGGAAATTGGATCTGCATATTGACAATCTTCTCTTGCGGTTGCCTGCTTCACCACCTCCCACACAGTCTACTTAAGAACTTACAATCGAGTCTTAAAATAAAGTCGGCGCCATTTTATTTCTTGTTAGCTATCATCTCACGTAACATCTAACCAAGAGAGTTAGTTGTATCGTTAATTATTTCAGATCGAGGGAGAAAATCTACCCGGGCGATTTTCTGACGGTTGAAGACCTGGTAAATTGACCAAATCCTGGACCTACGACATTAATTTATTGACAACACGGCTGAGGGGGGTGGAGGAAGGGTGAGGGAGGAAGAATGAAGGGAAAAATGGGGATACGGAGATAGGAGTGGGGGAGAGTGGGGTGGTGGGGAGAGTGGGTGGTGGGTAGAGTGGGATGGTGGGGGAGGGGGGTGGTGGGGGAGAGTGGGGTGGTGGGGAGAGTGGGGGTGGTGGGGAAAGTGGGGATGGTGGGGGAGAGTGGGATGGTGGAGATAGTGGGGTGGTGGGAGAGAGTGGGATGGTGGAGAGAGTGGGGTGGTGGGGAGAGAGTGGGGTGGTGGGGAGAGAGTGGGGTGGTGGGGAGAGAGTGGGATGGTGGAGAGAGTGGGGTGGTGGGGAATTTGGGGAAGGTAAAAAAAAATCACGATTAAATGAAAAACAATATATATATTCCTAACCAAAATGAAATCCAGGCTTAGCAGCGTATGACCCTCGCCTCGTAGGGTAAAAAGACCTACTCAAACATTAAGCTTTCAAGTCCATACACATAAAAGGGAAGTGAATTCTAGTAAAGGTAATATGACTTCTATCATCATACTGCCTGTTAATGGTACTGTAGTCATTTTTTTACAGTATTCCACTATAAAGGCAAAAGGGGAGCCTGGCAATATATTAGTCAAATAAGTACAGGCCTTTTATAATATAACATGAATGAAACCTTTATAATAATACTCATGTTATATATTTCTTATATAAATACATAACCACAGGCAAATTAAATGGAAAACTACTCAAATATTTAAAAAATGCTAAATACTGTCAAATGACATCAGTTTTAACCATTCAACAAATTTAAATTCCCTATGACAGCTTCTACTTAATAATAAATCCGCTTAGCTTTCTAAAAATAAAATGTAATGGCATCAAACATGTATATTATAATAACCAAAACTTCAAAGTGACATTGTCGACAGTGTAATGAACATTAAACTCTTAATAACTAAAGCATTACAATATGATCACATTCTTTACAGAGGTAAAGAACTAAGTGTGCAGGTCTACAGCACAGTGAGGGTGCCTGTCTGGTCACTACAGTAGGTGCGTCTCGTGCTCTACGGTGCTCCACTACATCATAACATAACAGTGCCATGTGCCCAGCCTCACTACACACCAAGAAAACACCAAACAAAAATCTATCATTTGTAAACTATACGTATTTATATCTAAATCATCTAAGGTTATAATCTATATCTCATCTAGGAAGGTGAAAAGTCTATTAGTTTCGAAGTTTTAGGTGTCCAAGTTCTCCCCCATGTTTATACGAGCATTACAGGTGCCGAGCGACCACTACTACACCAGGCAGCTACTGTCCCGTATGGTGGCAACTCATTTCTCTCCACTAAAGTGCCGCCTACACTAATATCTTGTTGAGAGTCGCCAGCAATCAAGACCCGGCTACTACTGTCAAACAGGACCCGCTAGCGTAGTAGGTAGCAGGAACAGCAGCAGCAGGAACAAGAGGTCACAGCGGGAGTTAGTCACACCAATCACAACAAACAGTTGGTTAATATCCCGAGACAAACAGCGGGAGTTAATGACACAATAAAGGTGCGCTGCGACCGTCAAAGCAGGCACAGGAGTAGTCAGCTTCCCCAGGCACAGGTGTCATGACCCCCCCGTACTCAGCTCAGACACAGGTGCTGGTGTGAGCGTGGATCCCCTAGTCTCAGCTCAAACACATGTCTGAGCCAGCGGGGATCCTTATTCTCTCGGCTCAAGAGACAAAGGTGTGAGCCAGCAAGGACCCCCTAGTTCAGACAGGTGTGAGCCAAGGGTGATCCCAGGGTCAGGTCAGAGGTTACCTTTGAAACAAGTCCGCAGATGGTCGAAGAGGCGAGAATGGGTCGGGAATTTGTACACGGCTGCGTCACCCTCGGAAGCTGCAGGTTAAGCGAGGCCAGGTCAGGTAGAGCTAGACACACTGATGGTTCACTTAGTCCTTAGCTTATCACGGTACTGGACATGTGTTACATATTAATCCCTGTGATATATGTTAGTCCATGATAGTCAAAGGACATACTATAATTCATGTACCTAATAATTATACGCGATAACACAAAAATTTCACACCATAAACAATAATAACAATTATATTATGTGCAAGAATAACAATGAAAATAATAATTAATAAAATCACTAATAACAATAAAAGATAATAACAATAATAACACGGATATTTATAATAATAACAATAATAATAATACAGAATATTAATTACACTAATCTAAATTAATAAAAAAAATTCATAACACCATAATAAAAAAATATATATACCGTATATAATCATAATCACTTTACAAAAAAAAATAAATAAAAACCCCAAGAATAAACCGCATGACTAAACCAATCACAAATACTTTACATAAAACACTAAACACCACTCCACTCATGTGACTGTGCCCACGACTGACTGGCACTACGTTCAGAGTGTCACTTTCGTCGACTGGGTACTTTCCAACGACCGTCAGATGTCCACTACAGTCATCTGGGGTAAGTGGATATCGACAGCAAGACCACTAGTTGTAAAAGCCAAAGGAGCATGACAGCCACAGGTTCAACACAGGTGAGATTGACTTGGGGAGAATTTAGTGGTATTGGGAATTTACCTCCATGGATCATTTTCTCAGTATTTATGTATAGGAATTACACACAAACGCACACAAACACACGTGCGCGTTAATGAGCCCAAACGCGTTACATACATACACAACCCCCCCACACACACAAATACACTAACACACAAAAAATACATAGACAAACAAATAAAAATCGATTCATGGACGTCCCGACAGAGGCATAACGCACAAGAGAAGATGAAACCACGACGGACGCCGAGCCATCACATAAGCTCGACCTGACTCTCGCTCAGGTGATCTAACGAGAACCCAAAAGAAAACAATTAAACTGTAGATAAGCGGCCATGACACCCAGGGACCAATCAAGATCTACAAATCAATCAAGACCTATAGAATGACGCAGTGTCCTAAGGGGAGTAAGGGGGTGGTCGTCACTCGTCACCGGCGGGGAGACTAACAGAGGAAGTGACCAGCCAAGTGGGTGGGTGGGCGGGCGGGTGGGTGGGTGGACAGGAAGGTGTGTAAGCCGGATGAACCCCTCTCCCTCCAACCCCTCACAAATACCCACAAACAAGAGGGAATTCACTGAAGGAATTCATACATGTGAAGGGATTAATTCTCCTACCATATGAGAACGCCCATGTGAGGCAGAAAGTGGGTGAACGTTCGTCTGGCGTACCTTGTGTTGACTACTGTCTCCTAAACGTGAAGGACTGGCACCTCAATTTAGCTACCCATTATTCCAGCAAATTCGAAAGCGCTCGGTGTTTGAGATGTCCTTTAAAAATGTTATCTGGCAAGAGGAGTGGTTCATATTTTCAATCTTCGTATAAAAAAAAAAATAGAAGTTTGCAATAATTTTTGTCGTTATATTTGGAAAGATATAGATTAACACTTTCAATTTACCAGCTACTATGTGAGGATCTACAGAGTTACGACCAAAGAACTACCACTTGGGACAATAAAATAATGAATATCAACAACCACCACAACTCACAACCTGAACTACCACTAACCCAACTCACAACCCGAATCAACATCACCAAAAATTCGCCGAAACATAATTCAACATGAAAACCACCAATTCTCATCATCACCACACACACACACACACACACACACACACGCACACACACACGCACACACACACACACACACACACACACACACACACAAAGAGCAGGCACGACATTCTTAAGATGCCTCTCTGAGTTCCAGTGTTTACCTGAGCTAAAAAACTTACCATAATGGAAAGGAGGAAGAGGAGGAGGAGAAGAAGAATTACAGACCTCGCCCACACGTGAGATACTGCCCTATTATCCCACTCTCACCCTCACCACCACTCCTCACCACTCACACCTTTCCCTCCTCCCCCATTTTCTTACCACTTATCCACCTCCTTCTTCCCCCCACTCTCCTCTCACTCACCCTCCCTCTCACTCTTCTTCTCACCACTCATCCACCTCCCTTCCCTTCTCCTCCTCCTCCTCTCACTCTTCATCCCCCTCCCTTCTCTTCCCTCTCCACTCACTCATCCTCCTCCCTCTCTTCTCACCCACTCATCCTCCTCTCACCCTCTCCTCCCAGTGTATATAATGGTACCATATATCTTCGCTCCCCTTCAAGGAAAAAGGAATAAGAATTTATTTTAATATAGTGACCCAATATAACTTCCCCCGAGAGAGAAAAAGGATTTAAAATGTTCGTCATATATCATAGGCCTATACAGGATTTTTTCATATTATATTATACACTTCATATGCCTTTAACCTGTAAGTAAAAAAGGGATTTAAAATTTATACCAACAACCCTATGGAAAATAAGTCAAAATTTACTCAATATATTTTACCCATTCAAGAAAAAGGTTTAAAAAAAATATATATATACTCTCTATATCCCCTCATTAAAAGAAGGCCTTAATATAAAAAAAAATGTATATTCCCCCTCCCTCCCCGACCAAATTCCTATCTAATATGAAAAAAATAATGTATTTCTCCTCCGCCTGAAATAATTATTAAAAATATTCCCTCCCCCCAAAAATCCTCTACGCATGAATTCTGCAGGAGCCCCGTACTGTTATTACACGATATAAATACAAATAATAAATTTATCCCCTTTAATATGAACGGTTATCAACTTCCTCAATTAAGTCAACGAATGATTAGAAAAAAGATTTAAGTCTGTATAAAAAATGATTACTTTAATTCTGTATAAAAATAATACGAACTGCAATTAAAGTTTCATAAGGCCAACAAATGAATAATAATAATAATAATAATAATAATAATAATAATAATAATAATAATAATAATAATAAACATTAATTTTTACTTAACTAAAGCTTCGAGCCGTACACTCAATAGCACAACATCACTTAACTCTTTACAACATTACACATCAACAATTACAACACACCATAAAGCCCATCACAACACACAGCTCATCACAACACACCACACAGCCCATCACAACACATCACACAGCTCTTCACAACACACCACACAGCCCATCACAACACACCACACAGCCCATCACAACATACCACACAGCCCATCACAACACACCACACAGCCCATCACAACACATCACACAGCCCATCACAACACACCACAGCCCATCACAACACATCACACAGCCCATCACAACACACCACACAGCCCATCACAACACACCACACAGCCCATCACAACACACCACACAGCCCATCACAACACATCACACAGCCCCATCACAACACACCACACAGCTCATCACAACACACCACACAGCCCATCACAACACACCACACAGCCCATCACAACACACCACACAGCCCATCACAACACACCACACAGCCCATCACAACACACCACAACACCGGTACACTGATATTCATGCCAACAGTAAATAAAGGTTCAAAGCCCCCAGAAGGTCTACCCCTTTGTGAGTCTCTAGAAAACTGAACCTTTCTTGAATATTCTTCCCGTCTTCACATTCATCCCTTTGTCGATTATAATCATACGAGTGGCTGCCAACGTCTGTGTGTGTGTGTGTGTGTGTGATATGGATGACGCAACGTTGATTCACCCAGTTATAACACTAAATGGATGACGCAGGACACTTGGTGAGGTATAAAGCAGGTTACAACGCATTACTCACCCGTTAAGAAAATATTCATATGGACGTAAAAGGCTCAAGGAACCACAAACTGTTTTTATGTCTTGTACGACGACGTGAGAGAGAGAGAGAGAGAGAGAGAGAGAGAGAGAGAGTTATGTATTAAGTAGATATCCAGTAAAGCATTCTTTAGGTTGTATGTATGTATGTATGTATGTATGTACCTGTATAGTGTAATTTACCATTTCATTATTATTTTTTTTCCAACTTGACACGATAAAACATTCACCTCAGAAACGTACGGACAGATAGATGTCAATATCCATAATGTTGATAAATAATATGGCACTCTACAGCCCTTTAACTCACCACGTGATTTATGACGTCATATGTAAACAAACACAGCTAGCCAATCAGCGGCTCTAAACAGATTATGGAGTCAGCGCTTCAGTTATGCTACTTAACTTGACGTATTGGATAATAATCTAATTACCTGTTAAATCAAACTTGGTGGTGGTGTGTGTGTGTGTGTGTGTGTGTGTGTGTAGGGGGGTGACACAATAAAGCAACATGGGATCTCACGACAGCTCAGGTAACATCCAATTAGCGGGGAGTAAATGTTTCTCCTCCTTTATCATCCTCTCTCTACTTCACCCTGCTGCTCCTTCCATACAGGTTAGAAGAAGGGTATGAAAGGGTGAAGGAAGGAAGGAACAGAGGTAAGGGGGGATAAAATATGAGGGAGGAAACAGAAGTGAGGGAGGGAGGGAACAGTAGTGAAGCATGGAAGCAAATTAGTTAATGAAGGGAGGGAGGTAAGGCGAGGGAGCGAGGAAAAATGCGATAGAGGGAGGGAGGGGCGGTAGTTTTCCCTCACTATTGATTGTTGTCGTGCAGGTGGTGCGTCGTCGTCGTTATTACTGCACACACACACACACGCACACACACGCTAATTATAGTAGTCACTCCTCTGCCTCCCACCACCTCCCTCACCATATGTCAAGGCTCCCAGTGACACCACCGGCTGTCTTCTCTTTCCACCTGCCGCCTACTCGCCACCTGCCATGTCTTCCACCCGTTATTACCTGTCCTTACCACCATCTGATCTGCCTATCAGTAGCACCAGTTATTCCTTGTTTTACCAAGAAATAACACAGACTGTCATACCTATAACCAGCTGTTGCTTGTTCTCACCACCTGTTCCAGCA